GCGCCCAGCACAGGTGTGCCCCGTGGGGAGGTGCGCCCAGCACAGGTGTGCCCGCGGGGAGGTGCGCCCAGCACAGGTGTGCCCCGTGGGGAGGTGCGCCCAGCACAGGTGTGCCCCGTGGGGTGGTGCATCCTACAAGGCGTGCCCTGCAGAGAGTGCCTGCTCAGTGGGCAGGTCCTGTGGCTGCAGACCTGTGGCCTATCCCCTTGGTCACAGGCCCAGCTTCCTCAGAGAGGTCTCTGTCTCGAGGCGCCATGAGGTGACATACCTTCTTCGTCGGTTGAGCTCTCCGAGTTGAAGCACCTGTTCAGGTATGGAGAGCCGGAGGAAGGGGCCGAGTCATTCGGGTGGGGATCATGTGCTGCTCCCCCATTGGGCCCCAGCTCCTTTGTCGGGGTCTCCTGAAAGTCAGACAGAAACCCCTGTAAGCAAGGCCTCCACTGCAGCCAGGTGACTCAGCCCCGCTCTATGTCCGAGGGCTTTCACAGCTGGCCTTCAGCAGCAGACGCAGGCCTTCCTCACGGCGCCTCTGGTGGGAGGGAACCTCTCTGCTGGAGGGCAGCCAAGCACAGAACTGTCTGCTCCACATGCTGCTGTTATGCACCGTCAGAACCAACGCACAGCTGACCCTCCAGGGGGTGTTCAGAGACATCACGCAGGCTGGGGCTGGGGAGGGAGACCGCCCTTCTTTCTCCCATGGAGCAGCTGGTGGATTCGAACTAAGTGCCTTTGGGTTGGCAGCACAGTTCCTTACCACTGGCCCCCAGAGTTCCCTGCACCACACGTCATTGTTGTGTGCTACTGAGTTGGCACACACTCAAAGCTGACCCTCCAGCAGGGTTTCAGAGGAAGTCAATCACACGGGGAGACTGCCCATCTTTCTCCAGAAGAGCAGCTGGTGGGTTTGAAGCACGTGCCGTAAGGATTGCAGTGCTGCTGCTTACCACCAGAGAACCGCATACTAGTGATTATTAATTACATTAAATGCAAATGGTCCAATTAAAAGACAGAGATTTTTGGAATGGGTTGGGAAATAAAACTCAAACTCTAAGCTCTGAAACAAACACTGAAATCAAACAGAACAGAAGAGGCAGACGTGGTGCCGCGAGGGCCAGTTCACGGCGACCCCACACAGCACTCCCCAGGCAGGGTCTTCACGGGGGCACACCGGCAGCTCTTCTATCCCAAAAGGCAGCTGGTGGTTTTGAACCAGTGGCCTTCCAGTTCCCCATTGTTTCACTGACTTAAACTGCGAAAGTGAAAAAGAGATACACCGTGTGAAGGCTAATCAACAGAGAGCCGGAGCAGCGTACACTACTGCACAGGCTCAGACAAAGGGACACACAGCACGCCGGATACACAGCACGCTGGCCTGCACAGCCAGGCTCAGCAACGACAGGCCACGTCTGCCTCCAGAACGTTGGGCACACAGGACGGACAATGCCGGTGTCCGGGGCTGGGTGGGGCCATGCTCACGGTGGGAAGCGGTGGGCAGGGGCCAGCTTCCTGAGGAGCATTCCGGAGTCACGGCTATGTGGGCATGTGGTTGGGTAGTGGGCCGGCTGGCAGGCGGATGGCTGAACGCATGGGTGGAGAATAACCAACGTGCTGTGATTCAAACTCAGGAGCGCCATTTAATGCTCTGAGCTAAGACACTTGAACTGCTATAAAACTAAACTAACCAGACTGGTAAGTTACATGGTAAGCAAAGGAACACCACCCGAGAGAGGCAGAGACAGGGAGAGAATGAACTGTGGACCAGCCGGCCAGGCTTCCCTGCTGGCCTCAGCCCCTCCGACTCTTTCCCCAAAGGCTGGCATGCCCAGAGCCTGCCTCACTTGAACTCTGTGCCTTGGTCTCCGAAGAGCCCTGAGCCCGGCCACTCTGCTCACTGGACAGTTTCCACTTCTGTCCTTTGATAAAACACCTGCACCATCCATGGGGAGAGGTCTCACAATTCTCAGTCACAGAGATGGTGAAGAAAGGGGGACAGGAAGGCAAGCAGACAAACCCTCCTTCCTTCCTGCTCTTCAAGCACTTTGCCACGTGACACACTCATACGAGGGCGGGCTCTCCAAAGGGGCTGGTCCCCAGAGAAGGACATCACGCTTGGTGAAACAGGTCAGTGAAAGATGAGGACCTTCGATGAGATGGCCTGACACAGTGACAGCAGTGTGCCTGACCACAGCAATGACCACGGGCAGTGTATGCGGGCCGACGAGTGGAGACTGGCTGATAAGCAGCTTCTTCAGCTCAAAGGGGGCCCCGGATCGGATGGAGGGGAGACCCACCTGGTTCCTGGCAGAGCTGGTGAGGGAGTCGTGGCGAGCACGGAGCCGACTTTCAAAAGCACAACATCTGTCTGTCTCCCACCCACTCCGACCCCCCAGGCCCCCCAGCAGTTCCAGGGAGGTTGGGTGCTGATTTTTCGTTCTTCCTAAGAAACAAACGTGTGCAGATCACTGTGGAACATGCACAAAGTCAGCTCAGAAACCAAACAAAAAGCAAACAAACAGCTTTCAGGTGCCCTGAACTTCTACACCATCTGAACGATGGGGTCCATTCAGATGTGCCCCAAACACAGCTCTTTCATAGTCCCCGGCTAGGCCCAGAAGCAAGCTGGAGGGACTGGGCATTAAAGGCACTGAGATTCCAAGATGCTGAGGACCTAAGTGGACAGTACACACTTATCAGTCAGCTAGTGCAGAGGAGAGGAGGGCATGAGAGGAGGGCAGGGGGACGGGGAGAGGAGGACATGCGAGGAGGACGTGGGACAGGACCGGTCTAGAGTGCAAGACCATAGGCTCCACGGCCCCATCACACCCCTGCCCCTCCCAGCCGTGTCCCTGGCACCAGGGGGCTTTGAAGAGCCCCATGTTCTGTCCTGCTCTCTGGTGGGGCTTCACTCACTTGATCAACAGTTTTTACTCGGCACTTGACTACGTGCCGGGAAGGAGTCCCAAGTGTGAGTTATAACTGACAGTGGTCGAACCCACCCAGAGGCGCCTTGGAAGGGCTGCTGGTCTGGAAACCTATGGGGTGCAGTTTCTGACACACATGAGGTTGACACTGAGTCAGAACCAGCCTGCGAGCAAGAGGTTCTGATTCTGTTTTGATTTTTTATGTGTGCTTATTTCCTGAGGAGTTATACCACCTCACTCACACATCAAGAGCTATAGCTTGCAACCACTGTGGAAGGCGGTATGGCACCTTCTCAAAAAGTTGCAAATAGAGATACCATTTGACCCACCAATTCCACTAC